ACTATCAATCGCCATCTGATGATTAGCAAGAGTTAGAGCTAAACCTAATCCTATGTAGCTTAACAGCCAGAGAAAGTAATTCGTCATTTTCTCTACGTTCAATGTTCTTCTCTTGCGTCTTTATTTCTTCTATCTTTATTTCCTTTCCTTATCCTTTAACTCCTTATCTATCGACTGTTCTTTAAGTGAAAATTATTCAGCCATGATTGCAATGATTAAATAATATCTTTCCAATTTATTAGACTTTTTATGTTTGATCTATTTACTTAGTACGTTTGTTATTTTGTCGATTCAAGCTTTTAAAGGAACTGTTGTCTGCAATGATTGTTATAAAAGAAATATAGTGTGTGTGTGTGTGTGTGGAGAGAGAGAGAGAGAGAGGGGGGGGCAACAGTGTGATAAATACAGAAAGAGAGGGAGGGGGAGGAATAGAGGGAGTGAAAGAGAGAGAGAGAGAGAGAGAGAGAGATACAAGTGTGTGTTTTTGCGTGCGCGAGTGCGCGAGCGCGTGCGTGCGTGCGTGCGTGCGCGCGCGTGTGTGTGTGTGTGTGTGTGTGTGTGTGTGTGCGTGTGATAGAGAGAGAAAGGACCGAGATATGAGTACGAAGAGAGGCACGTTTATACTGGATATGAAATATAATAAGGAAATGCTGTAATCAATTTATCTGTAGGAGTATTTAAGCAAATCTTCTTTAAAATGCTATTGAGTAACATGTGGTGTGGCTCATAGAATATCGATCTTGGTTCGTGTAGCAGCCACAAGATGTTGTTCGATTGTTATCATGCTAAATCCACTGAACTACTCGCTTTATTTATTTATTTATTTTTTTATTTATTTTTTTTTTATTTTTTTTTTTTTTTTTTTTTTTTTTTTTTTTTTTTTTAGTGGTGATGATTATTTTTGTAGCCCTAATTGTAGGATTATTTTAATATCTCAGGTTTCAATTGTTGTTGTGAGTGTTGTCGTTAGTCTCGGAGTGGCTTCCTTCGCTATCCTGAAAGCAGGTCGTATTAACAAAAGTTTATATAATAAATTTACAACCGAAATTCTAAGTATCATTTAGCACCTTTAATATTTATAATTATCAATATAATTCTTTATTTTATAATAAGACACGTGCGTGTAATGCAGATTGGATTCATAATACGGATAATAGTGCAGGTGTCCAATGCAGGTATTGCTAGTATTGGTCGGTGTTGGTATTCCGTGCAAGGGCTTGTAGTGATAGTGGTAGTAGTGACGGTGCTTTATAAATCATCGTGTGTGTTCTGACGGATCATGATGATGGTGTTATTAATAGTGCTTTGGAGGAACTTGGGCATAGTGGAACTAACAACACTTAGTTATTAGAAATACTTTTTATTTATTTCCATACAACAATTTTTCTAATTTTTATAGTCAGAGAAATACAAAATTATATAAGAAAATGTAGAAGAAATTGAGGGATTAAGAGAGTGAGATAAGGAGCGTGAGGGATGAGGGGGTGAGATCGATGGATAGAGAGTTAAAGAGAGAGATAGATAGATAGATAGATAGATAGAGAGAGAGAGAGAGAGAGAGAGAGAGAGAGAGAGAGAGGGAAATAGAAAAAAGCAATATAAAGGAATAGTGATATAATTAAAAAAATTGATATTAAACTATTCACCAATAAAATCAATTTAATTTAATTTTATCTTAACTACATTCCAGTTTTTTGTTTGATACACTTCTTTCTGATTGTCCCGAATTATTTTACGCAATGTACAGACATCTTTTAAAATTGCGCTGTAGTCGATAAATTAGTCATTTTATTAAATTTCAAAATTGTTTATAATTGATTGAATTACATACATGCTATTTTATCCTTGTAAAACGATCAGTCGGTAATAAAAAGTAGCCAATAAAGGTTACGAATTATATACATCTGAATATTGATAGACATATGAAATGTGTCCAGATATATTTATAAAAAATTTTATTTTGCTTAGCTTATACTATCAAATTGCTTATATTTTTCTTCTGATTTCACATATACTTATTATATCATTATATATATATATATATATATATATATATATATATATATATAGATTTTAAATTATAATCTGAGTATAATTATAAGACGTTCATTCGACATTTTTTTGGAATGGAAGGGTTTTACAGGAGAATATCATACATTTTAAATATATGTATGTGTACATATATATTTTCCTGGGTTTTGTTTTTTTTTTTCGTTTCCATTAACTTAAGATTTTTATAAATATATACTAATAAGCATTATAACTACGATACCTTCACTTATGTTTATAGAAGAATATGAAGGATCCACTCCTTGTACTCTGTTCCTTTGTATTATAGTGTGCTTATAAAGCAGATGCACTAAAGTAAAAAATTAAATAAAAATTGTGCACTTTTAGTATTTGTTTCTTCCATTATATAGACAAAAAAAAAATTTACGCACTCTTATTTGCTAATACTTAAAGATACAAATTGAAAATCTGATAAATGACAATGAAAAGATTCTTTCAATAAAAATAATCATAAAATTGTAGAAAAATAATATGAAAAATGATAGTTAATGATCAATGGACGATAAATCGTAAATTAGTCTGTATGCATTAGTGTTTATGTATGTGTGTTTGTGCTTTCTCGTGCAGAAAGTTGTAACGGTGCATTTGCATATTGTGTGTGTATCGGTGTACGTATCTATGAAAATATAAAAGGGTATTTATGTACACAAAAATATATATATGTACTCGTGTGAGAAATGGCGAATGAAAGAGAACAAAATAGAGTGAGTTAGTGAGAGTAAATGAGAGAGAGCGAGAGAGAGAGAGAGAGAGAGACAGACAGACAGACAGACAGACGGACAGACAGACAGAGAATTGAAAAAATTAAGGATTAAAGAAAATAACATTTCTAAAGTATATTCTTTTATTTACTAAGCCTTTAACGGATATTTTCTACTTATAGTAACTCGCGTACACCTTAAATACTGCAATTTATGTTTAGAAACAATTTTATTTCACTCTTCATGTATATATTTTTCTTTATATTATATAATTGTTCATTTGCATATATATTACTTATGTTGAATCCTTTTTTGATATATCTGCATACTTTTATAAGTCATTAATGATTCTAACAATTACCAGCCCATTATATGTCACTATTAAATGTTATTTTAACTACTTTAGTTGTTTCAATCATTTAAAGATTTACAAATATGAATTTCATAATGAAAATTATTATATACACAAAATACAGTAATAAATAATAAACTAAGCTGTACTTACTACAATTACATGAAATTTTATAGATGTATACGGGATTTTTCTTTCTAATTTTATATTAAACGAATAACGATACTATTGAGAATTGTTCGTTAAGGCTATCAACAGGTGTTGGGAATGCAACAAAAGGGGAAGAAAGATACGAAGCAGAACAATTGTGATTGAAAAAAATAAGGACGCGAATATACCTGCAGAAAGTTATAAGAATGTTAGTGTACGACTTTGGTTTGACTTAACTCCCATTTCCTTTGTTTAATTATGGTAACTAATGCAACATATGACTATGTGCGATTAAAAATTAAAAATCAAAAAAAAAAAAAAAATTTACGTATCGATTGAAAATGGGAAAAAAAAATTATTAATACTTGTTAATAATCTTTGCTACATAATATGTTTGATAATTCTTTACAAAAGTACCGCATAACCTGGGAGGTAAATTTATACATTTTCACTCATTATATTAAAGCCTAAAGAATTGTTAATGAAAACAAAAAAAAAGAAAAAAAAAACAAACAAACAAACAAACAAACAAACAAACAAACAAATAATGAAAAAGAAGAGAAACAAAAAAATACATATTTGTTAAAGACAGGAATCGAAAATCTTATAATTTGCATATGGGATTTGTATGTATATTAGGCAGCAGGCAATGTCGCCGCACGAACAATACTTGCTTGTGAGCGACGGCAACTTTCACCCTGCCTTTTCTTCTCACCAATTCCGTGCTGAATGCAGTAGTCACGACAGCAGTAGCACGGACCTCTTGCAACTCGTGGTAACTTTCTACACCTTCTTCCTATCATCATCACAACGGGCTGAAACTTTTGATTACAGATATTGTCCGTTACTTTGTATTCTTCTTTTTCGCTTCTCATATTACAATCTCTCAGGCGATTTCTGTATTGTAGTTGCGTTCCTGATAATTCTCATTCATCTGTTAACGGTAATACTTTGTCAAAAGTAATTTTGTCGCTCGTCGCTTAAGGCACTCGTTCTTTATTAATTATTTGCTGTATCTATTCTTCTTCCATTATCTTTCTTCCTCTCTGTGTCTATCTATCTATCTATCTATCTATCTATCTATCTATCCCTATCTCCTATCTCCTATCTCCTATCTCCTATCTCCTATCTCTATCTCCTATCTCTACCTCTATCTCTATCTCTATCTATATATCTCTCACTCTCACGCTCACTCTCTCACACTCTCCCTCTCTCTCTCTCTCTCTCTCTCTCTCTCTCTCACTCTCACTCTCACTCTCTCTCTCACTCTCTCTCACTCTCACTCTCTCTCACTCTTCCCTCCCTATCTTTATCTCTAGCTTTAGTTTAATTGCTCGCTTGCTTGATCGCGCCCGTTCTCTCTCTCTCTCTCTCTCTCTCTCTCTCTCTTGCCCTTCTGTATTTTCCTTTTATCGTTTTCGCTTTCTTTATCCTTCCTGCTTTCTCCAATTGATACGGGACAATTGAGCCTGGACCGATTATGCTGCACTATCGCACGCGAACAACTACACACTTGTTCAATTGACACTTAGGCACTTTTCTCAATTTCAGTTAGCTTCGTCTTTTACCCCATCAATACATATATTTAGACGAAACAAAATTTTGCCTTTCTATCTAATCATGTCCCTTCAATTATTTCTTCATAAAAATTTTGAAACGAGCACGTAATAAAAGTTTCGAACGGTTGAATATAAAAATTAGTATGGCAAAATTGAAGGGTTGAAACGATGGCGTTGCGAGACCGTTCGATCAACATGATACGCGACTATGTGAGTCGTCGTTTCCTATATGTGCTGTATTATGATAACGATAGAAAGTAGGCGTGGAAAATTGTCACGACGAGTTTGCATTGCCAATTTCAATTCAACTCGGCTTTTGTTCTTTCTTCGTACACATTGACGCCAACAGCCGGCAATCGAATCCCTCTAGTAGTTTCCACTTTTGCGCTGCTGAGACGCGACAGCTTCGACATCGGCAACGGCTATGCCGTTCAACGCCGTCACTGCTGCCGTGTACCGCCACTACTGTATGGGTAAAATAAGGAGAGGGTAGGTCGACCGCTTTACTGTGCTCCCTTGTAGGCGTGCGCAAGAGAGACACTGCCAACGATGACGACGACCACTACTACTTGCGTGCGCACATTCAGTAATCACAATGATTTTGCGTATTCGTGCATTCGTATATCTAAAATTCTGAATGTGCGCAAGCAAAAAAATAAACGAAGAGAGGGGGAGGGGTCAGAGATAGATAGAGATAGAGAGAGAGAGAGAGAGAGAGAGAGAGAGAGAGAGAGAGAGATATGCACGTAAATTGTGCGCTGACATCGACGTCATAGTTTTCGTGGCCTCAGTTAGGCTGGCGGCACCTTTCCCAAGAAAAAGAAACGAAAGAGGGAAGTCTATATGACAATTCTATATAGAGAAATGAAACTACAGCATTAAAAAATTCCAAAGCAATAGAGAGGGATAGTATTAATGACTATCATAATCTAACTTATATGCATTTTCATTTTTACGAAACCATTCGCTAATAATACCTGTATACAACCCTCCTGTTTCTTATGAAATCCTACATTTAATTAATTTCAACTTTCTTTCCCAATGGCCAGAAAATATATAGTAGCTAACATTTTATCAAATAATATTCATTATAAATATCCTCTTATTCATGAACCAGCTGTTTCATTTTTTATTTAGCTATCATCAGCGAGTATCGAGTGCACATTTTTTGCCGAGTTAATTAAATAAAATTCCCTCTCTTATTCATTTCATCACCTTCATAATGTCATATAAGTACAGAAAAAAGTATAAAAATCGCAAATATTTGAATATAACGGAATATATGAAACCAGCAATGGATGAGCGGAAGTGTAGAAAACTTTTGCTTACCAAGGGATCCTCGGCAAAAAAACCTATCGTACTTTAAAAACCTCCGTTTTCTTTTCTCCTTTAAATTGTTCAATACATAACTACATGCATACATTTTCGATGCTATACGTTTGTCCGTAAATATATTTGTAAATGTATGTACGCGCACAAACATTCACGTACACTCCCCATTCCCTCACACTCTAGTTCTTTCTTTAACTATTTCTATCTTCCAACATGGACGAGATTCGACCTCTCCTTCACCCCTTATCAACGCAAGCAGCAAGCATGGGCACGTATAGCTCTCCCTCTACTCTCTTTCTCTCTCTCTCTCTCTCTCTCTCTCTCTCTCTCGCGCATATCTCTCCCTCTCCTCTCTCTCTCTCTCTCTCTCTCTCTCTCTCTCTCTCTCTCTCTCTCTCTCTCTCTCTCTACGTGTCTATCTATCTCCCTCTGTCTCTCTGTATCCCGATACTATTCGATTTCGTATTCTCCCACTCGTACTTTTACTCTTCAAATCCAATTTATATCTACTTTTTGGATTCTTTCCACTGTTACTTCCTCTCGGTCTGCAGAATTTTTATATTTATGTCTGTCTTTCTTTTGCTTACGCAACTGAAAAGTTAAAAAAATTATTATTCATCATCATATTCTTATTATCTTCCTTATAATATTTATTTAACGTAGTATCAAATGATAATATGAAAACCACATAATATTCTATTACTTGTAAGTTAAACATTTTAGTTTTACATTAATTTTTGTAATATTATCAATTTCGTTTCAATTGAGGGTAAATTGTGCATATAGCATTATAAGTTTTCTGTGTAATTAGCATATAAAGTTAAAAATAATAATTTTTTATAATATTATATAAAGCTGTAATTGTTATTTTTCTTTCATGGCTTTAATTTTTCTGAATGTGGTAGTGAAATAAGAAAATTAACTTTTTATTGCTCTGATGGAAAGCAAATTTTATCAACTATAATGCGGTTTATTTTACATTAGAATTCGTAATATTTTGATTAAAAGAAACACACACACGCACACAAACAAACAAACAAACAAACAAACAAACAAACAAACAAACAAACAAACAAACAAACAAACAAACAAACAAACAAACAAACAAACAAACAAACAAACAAACAAACAAACAAACAAACAAACAAACAAACAAACAAACAAACAAACAAACAAACAAACAAACAAACAAACAAACAAACAAACAAACAAACAAACAAACAAACAAACAAACAAACAAACAAACAAACAAACAAACAAACAAACAAACAAACAAACAAACAAACAAACAAACAAACAAACAAACAAACAAACAAACAAACAAACAAACAAACAAACAAACAAACAAACAAACAAACAAACAAACAAACAAACAAACAAACAAACAAACAAACAAACAAACAAACAAACAAACAAACAAACAAACAAACAAACAAACAAACAAACAAACAAACAAACAAACAAACAAACAAACAAACAAACAAACAAACAAACAAACAAACAAACAAACAAACAAACAAACAAACAAACAAACAAACAAACAAACAAACAAACAAACAAACAAACAAACAAACAAACAAACAAACAAACAAACAAACAAACAAAAAGTTAAGAAATATATTTATTTGAAATAAAAATTTCAAATGTACTTATCAAAGTTTTATAAAAAATTGAAAATTAGTAAACCACAGATTCTTACCCGATAAAATCAAATTAAATCTTAAAAACTTAATTATTAACAAATATTTTGTAAATATATATTTAATAATTATAAAGGTAATATTGTCGAAATTTCACTTTAGCTAACTAAAATTATAATAGTTTTAAATTTTATAAATTTTTCTTTCAAAGTTTTAGGTAATTGCACTATATAATGATAATTTATCTATAAAAGCTAATTCATCAAAAGAAAAATATATTTTAATATTTTTGTATTTATTAATTTTTTCATTTTATTATTTTATTATACATCATTATATTATAAAATTTAATAAAAATATTTTAATTATAAATATTAAAGAATTAAAAGAAAATAAAAAGATAATTTAAAATATAATAACAATTGAAATATTTATGCACTATTACTGCGTGATCCATAAAGGCTACCAAGCAATTTAATTAATTTAAATTTATTAGATTTATTGTTATCACGTAAGCATATTACCTTGAACTTTAATGGATAACATTTGCAAATTTATCACTATCTTTTGCAAAAATTTTTAGAAACACATTAATTTAACTTTGGTCGAGGTATAAATATCATATATTATCGCTTTAAACTGGATTTATTTTGATTTATTTACTTAAGAATTTTATTTATTTATGATTCTTAATGTCTAAATCTAAATTTCAAATTAATATAGAACTCCAAGGTAATATGATATTAACAAATAGAACAAAATTAGTAAACAATAATATGTATTGAATACGAAATATATTGAATATGCCGAGGAACAAATGAAACGCGCGTGTGTGTATACGCATGTTGGTACGAACGTGTAGAAACTATGAATGAAGACGTAAAACACGGAAAGATAATGTTGCTCATGATGAATATTCATCGGGAAATTGAAGAATGTAATGTGTATTTGTGCATATGCGCTTTTCACATTAGCATTTATAGATACAAATGTAAATATAAAGTAATAGGTTCGTAAAATAAAAGAACGGGCATACACACAATATCGAACTCTAAAATATCATTGCGAGGAAAATAGGAGACGAAAAATAATAAATAAAAATGAATGAATGAAGTAGTATGAATTTAGCAAGACAATTGTGACTGAAATATAAAAAGAAAAAGTGTGAAGTTGTAGATTGGCGAAGTAGAGGGAGCTTTCGCAGAGATACGCGGAAATTTTATTCTCCCTCCATTTGCTCACGCACTTCTGCTCGCAATGATGATGGTGATATTGGATCAATGGAAAGCTGAAAACGTTCAAAGTGTATCTAACGTATTATACCTTAAATACAATGTATTTTCTTCACTTAATTATATTTCTTCTCTCCTTCCCTTCTTTCAGACGCTAAAATAAAACTATAATTAGCCGTTTGTCTAAATATTTTTATATATAATTTATATTGTTTTGTTGGTTTATAGATAAATATCTTTAAAGATATCACGTGAAATTATAGTTCATTTTTATCTCATTGCCATAATAGTTGTAAATTAACAAAAAAAGTTATAAAATACATTGAACCAGAAATAGTATGTAATTGTCATCGTATTGTATGATTATAATAATTGAAAAATTTTGTCTTTATTTACATGATAATGCCAAGAACATTAATTTATATTACAAAATAATTTAAATAAATTAAATTTTATAGAGTTACTTAAAATATCAAAATTAACTTAAAATAATAAGGATAAGAGTACAGGAATAATACAGAAATGTAATGGGCCAATATTAGAAATATTGATTTCCTAACAAATCTAATTAATTTTTTAATTCTAAATAAAAATAGCCAATATCAATTTTATAATAATTATAATAGGATCAAAAACTTTACAAATACATACCAGTAATAGATGTCAAATGAAGATAGAATATTTGTTTTTAAAATAACAAATGTCAACTTGAAGAAAATCTTAATACAATCATTCAATAAGATATAAAAAAAATATTTAAACATAATTCAAGATTTTAGACGAATCAGAGTAAATAAAAGTAATATATCAAAGTTATAGCAATAATTAATTACAAAGTTGGATCGGAAGTAGAAAACTAAATAAATTATAGACCCAATGATCGCATAACTTTTTGATTTCTAGGTCATTAAATTAGTATTTAATGCATAAACATTTGTTAAAAAAAAAAATAATTTAAAAGTTTATAATGACGGTTATTAATGAAAAAAAATATCTTTTCTTTTTT